CGGTCCTACGGATTGCTCCACCAGACCGAGGGTTTTCCCACGGACTTTCCAGGCGGCCTCGTCCCCGTTTCTCCCGTCTTCCCCAGCCTGTTTTCCTCCTGAAAAGTCAGCCGAATCTTGGATCTTCCCTTCCTGCCTTGGCAACATTTCCACTCTCCATCTTAGGCATAATGGGTTCTGCGAACGGGGAGCGAGGCCGGAAAGCAGTTTGTCTGCTCTTAATGAGTGCTCCCTAAATAGATTCAGGGATTCAGCTCGGGACTGTGGGCCTATGAAATTTTAATGCCCGAGAAGTGTTTAAACAACACATTAATCCGTGACCACACAAACTGATATTGGTCCACCTTTACATTATGTCGATAAAGAGCCAATTCATAGGCCGAGAGGGAACACGCATCTTCCTGGGAGTTCATGGGGAAGAATTAATATGAAAATTAATATTACATATATCTATATCTATGTGTACTCCGGCAGTGATCCCCCTGTTAAGAAAATAAGTTATTCTGTTTCTATAATGTATTGCATTATAGATCTTTCTTTTTTCTTTGTCTCTCCTATTTTTATACATAAGCAATTTTTTCTAAAAATGATGCACTGGAGGTGAACTGTGGGCCTTCAAACCTTCATGAAGGGGAGATGGGCTCCCTCCCTGCTGAAGGAAAGGCACTCTGCACGTGCTTTGTAGCACCTTCTTCTTATTTTTGCTTATTTAATAGTTTGAATCTTTCATGTAGTGTCTCTTGGTGTCTGAGGCTGCAATCCATCCACATGGTTACTGGGGAGTTACGTTCCTTGCTCTTAATTTTGTTAGAAACCACATCTGCCATTTTTCACAGAGGCTGTATTCACTCCTGCTGCTAAAACCTGGCTTGTTTTAATCATGGTTTCCTAACCAAGCCACAATAAGTGGAAAGGCGCAGTACACACAGCTCGACACAGCAGCCTAAACAAGAGACCTCTTCTGGTTTAGTGCGACAAGTGGACCTGGCTGTTGGAGGCTCAGCTGACCAACAATGGTTAAAACAAGCCAGGGCCTGAGTTCTGGGTAGAACCAGCCAGTGGGGCTAAGCCAAATTATACCTCGCTGGTTTGGGGCTCAGAGGGTGGGGGGAGCCCAGCCACTGCAGCGGCGTACAAACCATGATTTACAGCTCAGTCTGGGGTACGAGCCCAGTCCGCTCGGGCTTCGCCAGCAAGCCCTCATCCATCCACCGCGGCTTAGCCTGGGGAGCAAAGGCGCCGGGGCGAGGCAGCGCTCTCCATCAGGC